AAATCGCGCGAGTGTAATTTACAGACCAAAAAACCGGCCAAGTGCGAGTCGGACTCGCGCACCGAGGTTTCTGTGAACACTATACCTCTACGCGTTCATGAGAAAAAGAGGTAGTAACTTTAAAATTTTCATAAATATTTTTTATTATATGATGTTACTCAAAATTTACAGTTTTCGCAATTTTCCTTTATATGTACTATTCGCTATGTGCACGACAGTAGCGCCACCTACAATGCGCAACTTTCCGGGATTATGCCAAATAATAACATCAGTTTGTATTTTATTGATTTCTAGTAAATATAGTAAGGTAAAGATAAATAAAAATTATTATATATTGTATAATAATTTAAATAATGTCGGATTTCAATTCGGAATTCAGTACAGTCAATAATAACTCTTGTATTGATGTAATCTGGACTGAAACACTTGGGCATTGGTGCTTGTACGGTGGCTCTATTCGGCCAAAAGATTAAATTAGCAGTTGAACAAGCTAGATTTTGTAAGATCGAATGAAATATACGTGAGATTGTGGTTTTTTTGTACACCAAATAACACACTCAATGCTGAAAATGTCAAGCCAGTTTTCATTTTTATCAAAAAAATCAGAAGTCGGTCTTTAGTGGAAACTGTACATTTTCTCATAGTTAATCTTGTTAATAAAAACTCAAAATTGCTAAATGACACACCAGAAGGATCTAGGAGTTCTTGATCATTTGTTATTGATGAAATACCAACAAATTCTTGACTTTTTGTTTCGGTAGATTGATCCTCATACGATTTTTTGTCAGTGCCACAGCTTTTATCTTTCTTTCTTGAATTATTTGTCATTAAAATTCTTGATGTTGGATCACAGTGATCACTGTAAATTAATCTAATACAAATAAAAGTTGTATCTCTTAATTTCGATTCAGAAAACATATTGACTTGACATCCTTGATCGATCATAAAAGGTTGAGTTTGATTTAATTCACTCCCTTCTTCAATTATTATTTGACTTGATGTGGTATCTGAGACTTTTGTGGTTCTTCGTTTTGTCAAGCGTGTATATCTAGCTAGGACCTGTGAATCATTAACCTTCCTCTTTCGATATATTTCAGGGAATATCGTAGGAGCATAACTCGGATTTTCTTCCTCGTCTGATTTTTTGTTTCCCATAAAATGTTCACTACAAATTGTGTCGTCAGGTTTGGGATACCATGGCGACCCATCAACACTAAAATAATAAAGACAATAATGAATATCACATAAAATATATAGCGCAAATAAAATTGATCATAATTTAAGGTTATTTCGCTTACTTATTTCTTTTTATGGCATCTATCCATTTATTTCTTTGATTTAATTTCCAGTCCAATGTAGGAAATATATACACAGACTATTTGTGCCCTTATTTTTGCAATTCACAACACAACAACATCTATTAATAGGCATTTTAAAAAATTTTTGTTTATTACGAACTCCGTGCAAATTGACTTTACTTTCCCGGATTGTTGCGTATTTCTGCCACTATAAGCGCTGCGATCGCTTCACTATACCCCCACCATGTACTTCGCACATAGCGAATAAGACGTTACTTCGTACCAAAGGACAATGTTAAAATTGGCCTAAGAACCAACACCAATTTGGCATTTATGATAATTCTAAATACATTTTTTGGGATAATTATCAGTATTTAGATTGTGACGGACACTTCCAGTTAAGTAAGCTAAATTAAAAAGTTAAAAAATAATCTGAGTCAATAAATATCATTTTATGTGTATAGTCTATGACAGCGCTGCAAACAAAACACTCTTTCTTCCTTATGCCGGCACTTTACTTGGCTATTCGTATTTGCTATTTTGAAAACATGATATCAGTCTGTTCTTTTCATTCCTTATTAAGCATGACAAGGACAAACTGTTGTCAAGTGAAGGGCCGGCATAAAACTCGATACTCTGTGGTTGTTGTGCAAGCAGGCAGTTTTGCATCTGTGGCATTCGTGCATTCCAAAGAGTAGTATAATATACAGGAAAGTGCATTCTCGTTTCGGATTACCTGTTGTGTGTGTTTATTTACGATTGTTTTTCCTTTAATTTAACTATTTCGACTATCTAATATGCCATCGATGTTAGGATGTTACCAAAGAGCAGAGACCTTATTACCAAGTGCTAGTGAACCTGTGCCACAACATCCTGAGAAGATCATACTGCCAAATTATTCAAGGACACCTGATACACATTCACGCTGCATATTTACACAATATACATGTGATATACAAATAAATGCCATATACAATATTGTTAAAAATAGTCAATAAATAAGAAGCAAAACTACAGTTTTTATTTTATTCATGATTCCTACCTATCCAAGGTTTTCCTAATAGTTATTATTTAAAATCACACCGAATAAAATGAATTAGTTGTAATATTAATTCACTTCATACTAAGTTCATAGGTTGACCTATGTTTCATTGAATACTAAACATAACCTCAAAAAACATTTAGTTTTTCTAATAATTTAAGTTCTCAGAAGTGTCTGTCAATAATCTTTGTTTTTACAGTAATTTACTTAGGATTTCGAACCTAGAAAATAATATTTCATGATTGTTGGTTCTTAGGCTAACTATGTATGGGCGCTGAACGATGATGAAAGCATCCTTATCGCTGCGTGTGGTCTTTAATTTAGACAAAATATGTAGATGGCGTAGTGAATAAAAATGCAGTGCTGCGCGAAAAATGGTGACGTCGTGGACGTTTCAACCGAAATGACCCCAATTATGTAGAAATAATAGTTTTATTATGATTTCGGAGCAAAAAGTTTCTGCCAGATAAAGCGAATGTAACACCAAATAGTAGGGAAACCCAAGCCGGGATTTTCAAGCGTCAAGCGTTGAAGTTTCACTTCAAAAATATTTAGGCATATCAGACATTGAGAAGGAATGTTACGTAAACCCTCCAATAACTCTTATTAAAAAAACCTGTCGATTTGGACGCGACCAAAATTTCGTGGCCGTATGTTGAAATTTATTTTACTGCCATAAAGTTCGACCCTCTATAAAGGGCTCAGTTATGGTGGGAGTAGGTACTTCAAAAGGTGCAAGGTTCCCCCACTTTGTTAATCTGCCGCACTCGATTAAATACCAAAAATCCCCGTTTGGGCTCCCCTACTAATAGGAGAAAGGTACTTTATTATTATTACCTTCTAATGTCGAATACTCGTTATAACCAAGAACTACTACTAGAAATATTCTATTCATATTAGTTAAAGATCTTTTGCTTTTCTTTTTACACTTAAAAAATAATAGTATTTAGTCCAACGTAGGACGTTGTAGCTTATTAAACGCAGGACATAATAATAAATACCCAAAGTACCTAAAAAGTTGGGCCCGTTCTCCATTGAGGTTTAGACCACAGAGCAAATCTTACTCAATCATGTAGACTTGCTAAGGTGGCAACCAGCCACTTTGCAGTCTACCGCGCCCGCTCGGCTCCAATATCGCGACCATAACGTGTCAAGACTAAGGTGCTAAGTTGAAACATCATTCATAATAAAGTGCCTGCAGGGACATAAAGAGTCTGTGTGATTGTACAGTGGCCAATGTGGCGTTACCAAACCAACCGGCTCTTTACCGCGAAATTCGTGGCACTGACTGCGCAGTTCACGTTTAACAACCCCGCTGCGCAGCTTCGAACCCACCCTTGTCAGCCGCCCACCACACCTAGCAACAGAACGGATTTTACCACAAAATAACGCTAGGCATTTTTTTATTTATATCAAAGTATTTTTTTTCTACTTAAATAGAAAGAAGGTAGCTTTAAATTAACGCATAGAAAACTTGAGAAGCCGCGCACAAATTTTGTACAACTTTTTGAACACGCCGATGTGTTTTTAATATATTTTATTGTGGTGACTTTTGAGGGATTTTTGATGTTTTTTACTGTTGTAAAGTTTTAAGATAAGTTTATTTTATATTGTGACACGGTGATTGTTAATGCCAATGAAGAGATGTTATTGTTTTCAATAACAGACCTCCATTTTAAGGTAAGTGATTGCATGTCATCAAAGTGCTAATAAATTTATTCTCATTGCACTAAGATGTACTTCTTTTTTCTCAAACCTATAATTATTATATTGAATAGATTTTATTTGTAATCATATTTGTTTCACTGCCTATTTAGTTGTCGGACTTGATGTAAGAGCAAGTAAATTTGGAGTTTTTATTGCATATATCCATTAACTTATAAACATAGTAAATGTTAAATAATAAAGAATGTGCAAATACATAAATAAAATTAAGTAAGGTTGCATATTCTTGTAATTACCTCTAGACAAACAGAATCTCAAACATCAAAATTACAACTTTGCTTGCCTACTAATGTAATGAATTAGGTATGTTAGAGTTTATTTTTACGAATCCAACTGTGTTTTAGTAACAATTTTCACATAAATTGTTAGTTTGTTTAACGATGGGTATACGCTGGACATCTGGCTAACAAAATGCGTCATCATCACATAAAACCAAACTATAAAAAAAATCATTTATTCGCAGTTTTATTTCTACTGTATACAAAACAGTACGGTTTAACTTAGAAATTTCGTGTTGCACGTTAAAATATGTAACAAATATAACTCTTTTTTTTTCATTAAAGGTACTTAATAAAATTTATAGTCGTAACTGTTATTAAATAAGTTTCTTAATTTACAATTGTTTGGTCCGTACAGTCTCGCTGCAATATAATATATGCGGATGGATAGGGTTCGTCCCTGTTTGGCCATGACCTTCGCAGGCTGTGTTGGTTGGTTTATCTCAGTAATATGTTGCATCCACAGAGTGCATACTCTCAGTCTGAATTCAGCCTTCGGGAAGAACAGATTGCTAAAACCTAAAAATTAAATCTTAGATTATCGAAACATTCAACCTGCTTTGTATTTGCTCGAAAAAAAAATTGATTTTTATTAAAAAAAAATGAGCATAAAAACTCAGGCGAAAATGCATAACATCACCTTGATCGTTCTTTCAGCGCTTGTAACACTGAACATCTCTTGCGCATGCATTGATATCAGAACCAAGACGACGACGAAAACGCCCAATTGTGGAGTATAGAGTGAGTATTATCATTGCAACTTTTTATTTCCTTACATTTTTTGTAGCCCTCAAAAATTATTTTGTAACAAAAAAAAATGATTTTGGGATATATAACTACGAAATGAATAATTTACCTATTTATTTTAGTGTTTTCTCCACGAGTGTTAAACATTGTTACTTACATTGTTTTGTTGCTTCCATTTTATTGAGTCAAATTCGTAACAATAAGTCGATGTAGTGATAGAAAATTAGTAAGTACTTTAAAACATTTCTCAAGAGTGTCACAATTATGAGTGTCTAAAATCAGTGAGCTGGGATCTCAGTTGTAATCCACCCATTGATTTCAAATTATAATATTAGGAGAATAAGGATGAAATTTTTGGTGGCAAAGCCAAATTAAGCAATAACGTAAAATCTCAAAGTTACTTACGAAAAGTCAATAACCTCTTGGAAAATAAGTTGTATTATTAAATTTGTAATTTATTCAAACTTTTTAGAGACTGCTGTATTTATTGCAGAACTAACTACTTTTCGTTGTCTAATATCAGATACCGTTATTTTATTAGCATTAGGTACTAATGAAAAAACACGACTGCCGTAAAAAAAATAACTTAAAAGTAAAAAATGAGTTTTATTTTTCAAGTACACGGAATGTTAGTAGTGTATATTTTTTATTGTGATCGGGGGATATTTATTAAAAAAACATACTAAAATTCCGTCCTATTCGAAAAATAAAACTATTTTTTTATTTTTGTGATTTTTATTTTATTTTAATCGTTTTTAGTGACTTGTATATTTATTATTTGCTTCAATTAATCAATGAATTTTCAAGTAATTACCACGTTTTACGGGTAAACTCGTACTTACTACATTTACCTAAATATATTTGAGATGCTCACACACCTTTCAGTGCAAATGATGCCTACTATATTATAATAATTAGAAGACTTTTTTTAAATTTGACAAACAATGAACAACTCGACATTGCTTTTTAAAATTTAACAATATAAGTATTTAATGTCATTCGGTGAAAGGATTCTAACGATACCACATACAAAGCGGTTCAGGAATTTGGAAGTTATGGATAGCGATCGTTAAAGAAACATGTATATTTATAAATATATGAATCCCGAAAACATGTCACTCTTTTTTGGGTAGTCGTATAATAAAAAAACATAATGCGAATTCACTTTTACAATATATAGTGCTTATAGCAGAGAAATTGTTCCCGTCAACTTAGCATAATGACCATATTTTTGTAAAATCATACTTAGGAATTTGTTTTAAATGCAAACGCGAAATATTTTATCTGGATATTTAAACAGAAAATCTGATTGTCTTCTATTGAGAAAAGTCAGACGCATGGAAAAAGGACTTTAATACGCTAATCCTGAGTGCCAATCAAACGAATTCATTGCGAATTGTATGTTTTGATGTCATCTGCCTGAATGAAATAAAGCAAGAAAAAAAAAAGAAAATTATGAGGAAAAAAGCCCTTGCCCTTGCTAAGTTTCTTGTAAATAGGTCGCTAAAAAAGTTACATGAATAAATTTAATAAATTTCAGTTTAAGTTAAAAAAATCTGCAAGACAGTTATAATAATCTGCAAGTTGAATGATGATGAATGACAATGTATTCTTTCCTTCCTCTTTAAGATTTTTATTTTCATCTAACAAACTGTCTTACATGATTGTTACCCTAGTCTAGTTAGTACCTACTCTATTGATTATAATTTAACTGAATAGTGCTGGAAAATTAAACCATATTACTGAGCTACTCAGATTGGATACAGTCACGTTCTTTGATTTGGCACCCGCCTAAGATTGAAAATTGGACAGCAAAGAAACATCCCAGAAGATAATATTTAGAAAGATGTAATATGCACATATGTCAGTAAAGACAACTGCTCAGTTTACGCGCCAACCGTTCGAGCCCGAGAAGCGGACAGACATTTCCGACTTTGTGCCTATCAATCGACTTACTATTTCCTTTACTCACCGTCATTTCTGATAATATTTAATTTGGTATCATATAAAAAATATTTTTCAATTATGGAAATAAATTGTTCATTTATTTCTGAATAATTGGATTAAGATTTCAGTAAACCATGTGATTTGATAACATCATCTTGGATTCTCAACGAAAATTTCGTTGTACGACATTAACACAATGTTCATGACGGAAAAAAAATGCAATGATACTTTTAGCAGGGAGGTTAATAACATCAGAAATGTCATTAAATTAGAAAATATTTGTATTTATGACGTTTCAAGTTTCAACGCTTTAATTATATCAATTCGAATGTCAAACCAAATTTCGATGAAATGGTTCCCAAATCATAGCACTTGACTGTACATTCTAAGACTTTAATCTTATAATTGAAGCATGCATATCAATTTATGTTACCAACTAGAAAGCATCATTAGTAAAATTGTTTTTTATTGTCACGCACACCAAACCCTATTTAATTAAACTACTCTGAAATGGAAAGAACAGTTAAAAGGAGAATTTATAAAATGGCGTCTTTTTTTAAATAACTACCTATGCGTGCATATGACATTTTAATGTTGGTTTTAATTTCATATCCAAAGATATAAATCGTATATTTTTTTTTATGTCGCATCCGCATCTACATGGTTACCGAGTTGCTTGTTGGAGACAAAACTGCAGGGTGTAAAGGTTATGTATGGATGACATGACTTTGTGGGCTTGGCGATGTAACGGAATTGATGTAATGAAATTTGCGAATGTTACTGACAATTTTATTTTATTGTGCTACCAATTATTCACTCGATGAAACTTTTAAATTGTTTAAACAAGTTTAAGATTTTATCTCAACTGTTTCACGAAAGTACACCGAACGTGTAGCTTTCAATATAAATGTTTGTGTGTTACAAAATATTGCAAAAAGTCGTAAACATTACTATAGGACAAACTTTGGTTTGCGAAATAAGGGATAAAAATGCGAACGCTGGGCAAGCCGTGGCATATAATTATGTAGGTACCATAGATTCTGAAATTAAAAAAGTGGTTTTCCACAGATACGGCTCCGCCCATGAATGGGGCGGGTATCAGTTACGGACCACAGAACGTCACCAGGCTGTACTCTCCGGTGACACTCAGCTTCGAATGGCCCACCTTAGGACGTCTGCTGTTCATGGTCTTCTGTTCATGTCTCGGGACCACCATCAACGGATTCTTTGTTGCCGCATTCTTCGTAGAACACACTCTAAAACGAGTCGGTGAGTGAGACAAGATCCTTTTTATAGACCCAGCTTCGATAGCCCACCTTAAAAAGCTGCTCTTTATGTTCTTCTGTTCATGTCTCGGGACCACCATCAACAAAGGATTCTTTGTTACCGCATTGTACGTAAAACACACGCTAAAACGAGTTGGTGAGTGAGACAAGATTCTATTTATACACTCAGCTTCGATAGCCCACCTTAGAAAGCTGCTCTTTATGTTCTTCTGTTCATGTCTCGGGACCACCCTCAACGGATTCTTTGATGCCGCATTCTTCGCAGAACACACGCTAAAACGAGTTGGTGAGTTTGACAAGATTCTTTTTAAAGAAGGCACAGGCCTCTCAGGCCCAGTTTGGATCGGTGGGTGCTAACGACCGCAGATGCAGCCGGTACCAACTGCTCAGCGTGCATCGAAGCACGGAAGAGCGAGAGATAATAACTGTTTGGTCACTCATCCAATGACTGACCATTTCTAAAGTTACATAACTTCCATAACCGCAGGCCGAATGTACTTACCACCTGCGCTACCGAGCTCCTCATACGTATCTCAATATTTTTGTAACATATTTAAAAAGCATCCATGAATCAGGAATATGCTCGTATTCATCTTACAAACATTTACTCCTGCCTGGATTCGACCCCAGGACATGCATCCTCAGAGTGAGCGATATCTCAAAAACTGGTGTACTTCACGGAGGTTGTCAAATATAACTAAATGAGGAGGATCATAGTAAAGAGCATTGTTGCGCAATACATAAAATATAAAATTCTATGAAAGTGAAAAAAAACCCTTTTCTTCTGCTTAGTTTTCTTTTTAATCCGATCTTTATGTTATAAACCCTCTCTTTTGCTTTCCGAATTTATTCTTCAAGCTATTTAATCGCCTTTGTAAGCTTTACTTATCGCTTTTTCCTTAAAGAGCTTCAAGATAAATTAAAATATCTTCGGTCATTCCAAATTTTAATGAAAATGTAGTGTTTTAATTTAACGCGAAATTTTCTTTAGCCTTTACTACTGAAAAACAAAATGGATCTGCATTGTGTTCATTTGTATTTCTTTCTTGTCTACTTAATTGAACTACTTGCGTCAATAGAAAAACAGTGAAGCTACTGTAGCCAACGATTAAACTTGTAACGGTGATATTGAAAATGGATCGACTATCAGGGCGACTTTAGAAAGTGGAGAGGTCGTGGTATTAACCGAGACAACTCCCCCTCCCGAGTATCCGAGGAGCCAGTCCAAAGAACCTATGGAAAGGAGGAGTTCCATATAACCTCGTCAGCGTTTACCGGATGGCGGGATATGTGTTTTCCCACATTAAGTGAAAATAGGGCAGCTTTGCATACTGCCATTATAATTTCTAAGCAACAGTTGAGTCTAAGTTTGGCCCATTACAAATGTATATACTAAAGCCACACTACAAGGAGTTACTCTTGATGCTAAGAGCAAAGCTATTCTGTTTTATTTTCTAACCTTAGTGAACATACTATTTCAATGAAACAATTGGACTAAGTCTGCGGGTGACATTTACGAGCGACATAAAAATAAATATAATATAATCGTATATAAAATATCGTATATATAAAATATATAAAATATTTTAACCCTTTAGGGCTAGGATAAATATCGGGGATAAACTTACCCTTACACTTTTTTGTTCTCTATATGATCACCTACCAATTCGTCATATTTTTTTCTACAAAATTGACGTAGTTTCATTCAAGACTTTTTCATTACATATTTTAACCTTGAAATGAGATGAATTTTATGAAAAGATACGAAGTATGATTTTTATTGATAATTTTTGACACATTTTTATTTTCAACATTTACCAAACTTTATATAAACTGAAAGTTTTTAATGTATGCCTCATTTAAGCCTCTTAAGGTATGACCCTTACTTCATTTATCTAAGATCATTAACAACCTTTGTGCAATAATTAGCAATTATTTTAAGCCCAACTAGCCATTTTTATCTTTATTCTTGCTCACATTTTAAATCTTAGTGGTGAAACTGAAATTATTGTAAAATTAATTTTGCTACCTGAATTACTAAGCCCACGCGGACGAAGTCGCCGGCAAAAGCTAGTAAGATCGTATTACTGTTAATTATATTGTTAATTGTGGAAAATATCTTCCTACAGTTCCTTTTTTTGTGTTATGAGCTACAATAAAATTTTGCCCTCGCGATTGACCATATTAAACATTAAACTCAAAATATACTCAATAAGAAAATCCTAATCGTAACGGTACAAAAATGTATTGGAGTGGGCGGCTTTTCGCGGAAATGTGCTGCACGGGACAAGGGGCCTAGCGCTGGCCCAAATTCTGTTATGAAACCCCAAATGCTATATCTATGTTTGCTATTTGCTCTTTGTACACGAAAACACGGAACTTCAATTTGCTTTAGGACGAAGCGCATTTGGCATATTGTGCTTTTATATCTCGAGCATGCTTTTTAAAGGAATTTTAAGTTTGTTCTGGCTTCATTAGCTACTTTCCTACTGTCGTTAATGGTCGGTACACACGTAACGACATATCGTAGCGATTTCAGACTGTGCAGATAAATCGAACGTTCCTAGTGACTCCACACGCCTTCGATATCGGCGTCGATTGTCTGTTCGGTCTGTTCTCCGCAGAAGCTCACGCAAGAAAAATGTCATCCACGATGGAAGATTATGACGCACTTGCGATGTTAGGCCTAGTTATGTGTTTAAAGAAAAAAAAGGAGCGGAGTGTGTGATGTAGACTGGCTCATGAAAAGAAAGCAATTTTTCTCACATCAACTTGTTAAATAAGTTGAAATTCGCCTCGAAAGATTGGCATAATTACTTGAGAATAAATGAAGAAGCATACTTAAATCTGCTGGCCTTAGTTTCTCCACTAATACAAAAACAAGACACTGTAATGAGAGAAGCAATAAGTCCTCATGAGAGATTATCTGCTACACTACCATTTTTAGCTACAGGTTGTTGCTACGAATTTATGAAGTTTTCTACAATAATGTCATCGCAAGCTCTTAGTCAAATCATTCCTGAGACATATCACATGCTCTGTACGACGACTCGAGATTGGTGTAGGTGTAGAACGGTTCGGGGTCGGTGTGTCTCGTTCGTTGTCAGAATAGTTTAGTATGTCGCGGTCGCTGTCAAAACGATTCGGAGTTGGTGTGTCTCGTTCGTAATATCGTAGTGTCGTACTCGTTCGAGCTACGAAAGAGATACTCGCGATCATGGTAATCTTTAGATGTGGTCATCCAAAGGCAAGTTTCACTTCTAAAGCTCTCTATAAAATCTTGCATTAGTTCATGGTGTCCACCTCTTTCTTCTTCATACATGTTGCCATATAAGAGCGATCCGCACATTAGCACACTTGCGAGCCTACAGCCGAACTGAGCGATCTCCATCCACACGCGACGATAAAACTGTGCAAACGCAATCGACAACGATTTATCTAATAAAAATTGCAACTGCCACCGACGAACGATAATCGACAACGATTGTTCATACACACGTTCGATAAATCTGCGCAAGTCCATTTGCACAGTTTAATCGTTACTATAAATCGTTACATGTGTAGCAGGCATTATATACGCCAATTCACTTGCGGCCTGCGTGGATGGAAATGACTAATTAATTCTTCGTATGTTTCTGTCCATAGGAAATACCTGAGATATTGGGACATTAGAATACTTATTGATGATGATGGTTCTATTGAGAGTTGTTTGTTTACAGGCAATGTATTTCTCGCCTGCATCGGGTTATCTGACCTGATAGTGACTACAGCGGTGATGCCGGCATCCGCTGTAGTGTTACTCTCAGCCGGAGAATGGGACACCCTGCCAGTATGCCATGCTCTACAATTCCTCACTGAGACCGCTATGTATTGCTACAGTCTGTTCTTTGTTGTAAGTATTGAGGAATGTTTGATTTGTAACTGATACGTGTAATGTAGATTGGCAACGAAGCGACTAATGGTGTAAATCCATCTTACATCCGGCTTTACGGCTTAAAGCGATGAATCGCAACAGCCGCTGAAATTATTACAGCGAGAAGTGAAAACTTATGTTAACTTTAGTTGCCACTGCAAAGTCAACTGAACTGGAAGTAAAACAAAATAAATAATGAGCCGTTGATAACATTTAGATGTAGATTGTGACACTATCACTAGGCTGAAAAAATCTGAATTATCATTTTATAACTTACACCCAACTCCAAGAGTAGAGAGAAGTGTGGTTAGGTTAATACTAGTGACATGCTGATGTACTTAAACTTTTTCGAATAAGCATAAAATTATTGTGTAATAGTTACTTCACTGCCAGTTCTGACAACCTGTTAATACAATGGTGTTTGTTTATCATTTCCTTAGAAACACTTTTCTCTTGCAGCTTGTATCAGCGGAGACATACTACCGACTGTGTCGTTCTACGCCCGAATACGAAATGTTCATTTCTATGCGCATCGGTCTCGTGACCATATTCGTATTTTTAATAGGTGTTATCCTGGCCGCTATTGGAGTGTACCTCGGCTTAGATTACGACTACTGCGAACGAAGTCACTTCGGCAACTTCTACTACCGCCTATCCACGTCTGTTATATTCCACGGCGTACCCGGCATCCTCACTTTCCTCGGTCTACTCTTCTCATATGTACGCATTAGGAAACGAGCCCGTGAGCAAGTATACTATAAACGGTCCCAACAGTACGAAAGAGATTTCTCTACGACCAGCTTGAACATCGCCGCGTATCTAATCTACATCGTAATGTGGACGCCTTACCTTATCATCGTACACAAATACCCAGGCACTTCGGACTCGAAATTCTACCACTGCGTGTGGTTAGGCGTTTGCCGATCCATATTCAGTAGTTTTCTGTACAGCTCTATGAATAGGAACTTCAGGCGCGCTTTTGCTCATCTGTTTTACTACTGTTGCTGCAAGAGCACCCTGACGGGCTCATTCAATAACCGTCATCGAAGGGCGCTGGAGTATAAAACGGCTACAGGTGACGTCAGGGTCCACATTATGCATCAAGCAGTGAACTCGTCCAGCCCACAACGTGGTGCGTGCTCCGCTCGCGAGACCCAAGAGTTATGATCTAGGGAGCGTGAATACGTCCTCTACGTTTATTAAAGAAAGATAAAAGTATTGTGTTTGTAGAAAATACAACTATCAGTAGGAAAAAAAATCTTAAGTTTTGTTCTTTTGATGTCAGTAGCTTTTTAGGTATTGTTTGATAATGCTTTTCAAACTTTTTGGATTTTTTGTATATAAGCAAAGCCTACAAACGACTACGAACGAAATCTATTTCATGAATAGTTTATTCAAGTTTAAAAAAAATAACAGGTACCCATCAATTATTATTGATGTAATTAAGTACAAGAGCACTTTATTTTATTTGTTTTTTCCAAAACACTATTATTATTTTTTATTAAGAAAACATAATTTTAGCAAACACAATACTACTGATCTAGCACCTCGGCGTCCCTAAAGGTAATACGAATTATAAGCTCGCAATATTATATGATGTTTTAATAGAATAAGAAGCAATTTAATAAAAAGAAAAAAATGTTATTTAAATAATACAATTGCATGAATTACAATATACCGTTGAAAAAGTTGAGTATTTTAGGCGATAATTGTTTAAAATAATTAAAAAAGTAACTCTTTAGATGAGCACCAAGCTCTTAAATCAGCATCTTTAATTGACGGTATGATTTCTTTAATGCGTGTCGAATAATTTCTACGAGACACATATTTGTAAGTGAACTCTTTATATTAAATGGGATAAGGCTATATTTATATAACCAGGATTATTCTATGTACTGTCTAGTTAAAAATCTCAATGTCTACTGCGTATTATTATCTGGATGTTGTATTCTCCTTTCACGCTTCTAGTGAGGATGATATAAGTATAGACTAAGGCCAGGAAGAGAGACATGTATATCTTTTGCTATTACAATGTATTATATTCAAAAAAGTGTAACCATAATTTTGAAGATCAATGTGTCAGTGATTGACTCTTGTGCTTACAACTAGTCTTTCCCTTATATTCATTTCTGTTTCATGTATCACGGAATGAGAAAAAACATTCAATATTATATAGTGGGGGGCTACTCTTATACTTTATATACGATTTATTTGTAAGGCCATCAATTTTGGAGCCTTATACTCGAATCGGCTTCGGTTCTGTTCTTACAGTTCATCGCACCGCGACACCTGTATATGGGCCTAATCCTAAAGAGTAGTCAACTTAATTTGTGTTTAAGTGTTTGGGGAAAGAATTAGTAGGTATCAAATTATTATTTTATTTCAGTTAAATTCTGCTACTATTTTAGAGAATACCTTTATACAATAAAAGAAAGTTTTAAAGTCAATGTGATATTAGATATCTGATCACCATTCTTCGTCGGTGATAAGGGCAACAGAATAGAGTTTAATACTTATAATGAAAGTGCAAGTCACTGTGGTGGTGTTAAGCTAAGCTATATCGAAATTTTATAAAATGAATAGATATTACCTAAAAAGACCTTGAAATTTTGTTTTCTGTGCAAAGGAATATACTTGGTGTTATAATTGTATACAATCATCCAAAAAGATGTTAATGTTTTATTGGAGCCTACATAAAAGTAGCAATAACGGTGCCTGATAAAGATTTATTATAAAATATATCGTATTATTTTCTTGGCCAAAAGGTGGCGACTAAGAAAATTCGAGATCTTCGCAATTTCCTAGAATGTCCCTATACTGTAATTACACTTATAATCTGAATTTAAATACCGATTCATACCTATTTGACTAGAGTAAAAAGTTTTGAACTAATCGAAGTGGTGAAATTAGTTAAGCCCAAAATATTAATAAAAATGCTAGGAACACTTTTAATTTTGAAGGATTTCCAACTAAACTAGATTTTAGAGAGCCACAAATCAATTACCGCTTCACCAGTAGTTCAAATTCAGGAATACAACAAAATGGTACCCTACGAAGTTACACCGTGGTCTTGAATGCGACAATACGTGAAAACAATTTGATGAGAAAAAAAACAAAATTTAAAAAAAATAACGATTTCATAATTTTACGACATCAAAGTGAGATTGTAGTATGTTATGACTCGTTGACGTTTTTAACTTTAGTTTTTTAATGAATACAAAATAATATTTACCTATTGATATTTTTATAACGATAACCTTACTTTGGTACTGGCATTTTTTATAAGCCTATTTTTATATTGTGACGATTTTGTCAGTTTTTTTCGCGTTTCATAGTGACACGTTGTACATTTTATAGGTTAGCGGTGTGTATATTTTAACGGGTCGAAGATGACATGACACACATTAATGACTTTCTATGTGCAATATTAGTTTCGCACAATTAGATAGTAAACATCACTAAATGTCCTTCTGTCTTAGTGAAAGCATATAATGTAATATACGATATCATAGGACTGTGTTTTCATATATGATCTACTGTTGCAGTTTATCTACTGTGGCGCAATTTCACAGTTTCAATAAAGACATTAGGAATTTCCATAGTGAATTTTAAGTTATTGCTTCATTTAAATTATATCATTCTAATAAGTAACCTTCCAATACTTATAATTTACTTATTTTCAAATTAATAAATTAGAAAAGGTAAAATAATTATGGAGATAAGAGATGACTTTCAGTATTTTTTTTTATATTGTTGCCAAAAGTATATTTTAGTGCGTTTTATTAATCGTTTAATGAAAATGTGAATAAAGTTAATAAAATAATAAACATTTTTTTATATAAGAATTTCTGAACCGAGTGGAAATATATCTTACTTAATATTAATCAATTTGTGTTTGTATTGGTATGTATAAATTACGCCGATTCAATTTAAAATTTGTATATTAAAGAGACAAGATTTTTACTATAGTAAGTCTCAGACCAAATAAAAAGTAAAGACGGAGTCTGCCCTACTAAAAAGTGAAGCCGGTTTTTTATGTATGTAGTGCATTTTAGCCAGTGTTACCATAGTCATTTATAATACCCCAATATTAGAAAAATGTAATAAAGTTATTTCATTGCGTTATAAAATATTGGAAATAATATCGTAGGCTTATTCTTTAAACTAGTGCAGATTAGTTTTACATTAGCGCTAGATGCAACCTCTCGTGAGTCAAAGGTCCTGCGCTTGGAGATATGGGGTTCCTGTGATTTAGAAGTTTAATAACTGTTACACTAATAAAAGTTTATTTAACAAATATTTAATAAAAACGTTTCAAAATGTTTCAAGCGTCTGCACGACTGAAGAATTATTGGAATCTTTAAAATGTAAATTAACTTAAGTAACCATATTAAGTTAAGTAAAAAAAATACCTTTAGATATGCATTTTGTTTTACACAACGTAACCCTTTTGTTGTGTAGTACAAATAGTCGCTCTGAAAATGAGTCGAACAAACCACGCTGCGGGAAGCTGGTTGCCACAATGGTTCATTTCTACTCTTACAAGTGACTGCAATCCACTTCTCTTTTAGATTTTGATCTTGATTAGGAAATCGTAAAAAAAAATGGTTGCCTGTAAAGTCGGTTTTACGGGCGAAGATTTTACGTGACAACGTCTTTTTCTCGGTAGAATATTTATTGATATGAATATAATTAAATTGCACAATAGGAACAAGGAATTGAATGAAAATAAGAATTGCACAAATTTTAACTATAGAAATATATTTTGTTTACTAAAACATTGTACATGTAAACTTAAACTTAACACGAGAGACTCATCGTAACGTTACCGAGCGTTACACTTTTTCATAAGTGACTCCCAGCCGCAACCTAATTTAAGACGTTGTCACGTCAAAATGTTTCGAGTAATTGTTTATCCATGCATTACAATATTCGAATAATATAAAAGTATGCTACACAATGTATTTAATAAAATAACGTTACGTTATATTTCACGCTACCCAACAAAAGGGTAAAACTGTAACGTATAATCATGGCAGCATTTCGTTCAGGTTTTGTTTACAAAGCGACAACCTCAAATTTGATTTTGTTTAATTGAAAATATTAGTTTATAACTTTACTTACGTGTGAAATGTGATTCCATCCTATTTTTTATTCTTCGAAGATTAGTTTCTACACGTTTTAACTACACAATTCGGCATTTTCTCTAATAAATATTGTTATTTATTATTACGTCACACTCCGCGCGCCGGGATAGCTCGACTGGGAAGCCGTAGTTTCGTTGCATGTGTGTGCGTGTAACTGTGTATGTACACGGCGAGGCGTAGTTTTATCGGCTTCACTTTTTTGTTCGGCAGACTCCATCTTTACTTTTTATTTGGTCTGAGTAGTAAGTGGTAACTAATTTTGATTTTTGTTTAAAAAGTAGCAATGTCTCATCAACCCAAAATACCACATACATATTTTATTTTACTTTTATTGAGGTGGAATTGCTATAAGTATTAGGTATAATTAAGTGAGCTTTTGTTTAGTTTTTGGGAGATAATACCACAAGCGCATTTAATATGAATAAAATAAATTTCAATTGATGTTTTGTAGTGGTTTTCTCAAGAAAAAACGTATTTGCTATATTTTATTATTTAGGTAATTATGTGTTTTTAATATTTTCGAATATTTGTTTTGTATATTGTGAATGGTAAGTCATTAAGTTAAGTATATCTCAGCTTTAGGTGGCTGTTTACCCTTATATTTTATGTTATATTTTGTATTATATTTATGCTTCCGTCCCGATTATGACCTGACCAAACATTACACATTAAGAAATAACAACTACTTATATCAATAATTCTGTACGTTTAGTGAAAAGTGATCTAACTTAAATTAGACCAAAATGAATTTAGTATCTAATTTTTATTAATTTGAGTTATTCTCTCTTATCCCACCTTCCACTTTCCTTCAGAGGACCACTGCGCTGGCCTAAGTTGCCACCGTCTAACTGTGGCCACAATTCCAACACGTACAAAGAAATTTGGTGACTCATTTCTTTGTCGCACTATCCGTAAATGGAATGCTCTGCCCGCTCACGTGTTCCCTCCCTCTTACAACATGCCCCCCTAGCATGAGTAACAAAACGCGATATGATAAAGCGATTTATCGACATTAACTGTCAAACTACAATGGAAATTTGACAGTTGAGTGTCGTTAGTCGTCGTTTGTTAGTCATGCTAGGGGGGCTGGAATCCTTTAAAAGAGACGTAAAGAAGCAACATGCAGGCCGCAGGGTGAGGATGGCTGGTGTGGCAGATAGAACTGCTGTATCAGCTATCTTCGCTTCTGGACTTCACCTTCACTTAACATCAGGTGGGGTGGAGTCATTTGTCGGACCTATCTATAAAAAAGCGGTATATTTCTACGCCGCATAGAATAGAAAATAATTTTGTGCTATATGACATAGGTATGGCTTCGTAAACCTATTTTGAGATTTGTTTGTGTTTATAGATACACTACACACACACACACACACATACACTACACACTAGTGGCCCGCCCTCGCTTCGCTTCGGTGTAGACCTGTAGAGTAGTCTATAGTTTTTATTCTCAGGCTTGCATTATGACTTTCTTCATATACCTAATTATAAAATTATTTTTCTAAATTATAATATTCCTTCCGTGAAAATTAGATATAATTACTAATATCATAAAACTGGAGTTTGTTTTTTTTTGGTTGAACGCGCTAATATCAGAAAATACTGGGCTGATTTCGATGATCGTGAACTTTTTTTTAGATGTTGATGATGTCTATAAAATTTATGTACAAAACTTTAAAATATTATTTTTTTAAATGTGAAAGAATTTTTCACATCTGTCCAGCAGTTTCGAAGCCTATTCAATACAAAAAAACAAAAAAAAAACAAGTTAACAGTTTAACAAGTTTTATTAAAAGTGAAAAAAGAAATATCAACAGAAATAACATAAAATGTATCACTTTACACTTGATAGTCTGAGGTCAATTGAGTGTGGTGTAATATGATTTAAGTTCTATTTTATCACTTTACACTGATACAAAGTTTCTAAGTACTATATATTTTTAAAAGTTTTGATTTTCAGAAACTGATTCTCTAATTGATTTTTTCCAAACTTATCTTTCCCTAAAAAAATCACCGCGTTATCACTTATAGCCACGTAGCAGGATTTTATTTTTTACACCAAATGCGATTTGCCGTAAAATAGCTATTTTCAACTTGGATCACTTTTCACTGAACGTACAGAAATTATCCTTTTCTACATTTACATAATAAGTTTTACTGAAAGCTTATTGTTTCAAATTATCCGCGCATTTTTAGTCACACAGAAGCGTCAATAAATTTAAGAATATTCAATTGAAGAAATTGTGGGCAGCAAGTTTAAAATTAAATAAAGTTTTAATTAACGTCCTCTGATTTAGATCCTGACTCCTGTAAACATAAGGTATAGTTGTGTTAACGTATTATGGTTTATTGCCATTTAAAATATATTCAAGTTAAAACTTATTTACAAGAGCAAACCCTTTTTTGCGTCACGCGTATTTTAACTTAGCTTTAATTTATGATCCAAAGAATTAGTATACAGTGTATACAGTAAATATTAGCACAAATTAAAGAGCAGCGCGGCGTACTTTGCGGTATTACCCATTTATGTTATACCGTAAAGGAATTAGGTATTATCACCCTGTGTTGATTTTCTTTCATATATATATAAAACTGCTAAAGAGGTATTCGTTATTAATATACTATTGCATATTGTATTTCATTCCCTTAGTTTTGAATATTGAATTTATACGAGTAATAAGTAATCTTTACATTGAAGCTGTGAGGCTTGTGTTTTATTCCATTCTACGTGGTTGGCAAATTGTATAAAAATATACCTATTTAATATTATAGCCAAAAGCCGAATTTAAGCTTTTAACGAGTTGTTTATCTTTGCTATATTAATATTATTCGGTGTAAGTATACCATAATGTAATGGAAGACTGTTTATGGTGAATTGAACTTATATTATTATATAAAAAATGTAGTTTCCTTGATATTTACTGCCGTAAAATGATGAAGGTCCGATAAATTAACCTTGTTATATTTTTTATACCTAAGGTTTTATTTAAATAATTAAATACATTAACGGTTACTTCAAAAGCTATCTTCCATGGATACCGATAAAGCATTTCACTTGACTTTATGTTTGTTTATAGTTATCTTTTTTATATAACATATACTACATATAAATACACATACCTATGCATCATCTAAGTTGGCATTATTGCATCTAAGATTATTTATTTTATTTATTATTTTGAACACTTTACTACTATTTACAGATTACTTAAACAATATTTACGGCTAGATGATATAGGTAATGGCTGATTAACATTGATACCTGGCGCTAATATAATAGTACCTATATAATTCACCGAGGTGAGACAGTGACCGATTACCATCGAGGGTGTAACAACACACCCGAGTTGGGAATAGCACTTTCTTTCCACGGTGCTTTATACTATACCTACGAGGAAATAAAAGACAATTTCTTGCAAAATTAATATTCAGAATGCATGAAGCATAATGTTAAATATTTATTAATTCTATTTGATGTTTCCATTTACCTAGTGAACAAAGGTTTGTTCGCTCAGAATTGTTCTGAGCGCTATGTACAAACGCAGCTTTAGTAGGTCCTGACGCACAGTAGGTTGAAATGATACTTTCTATGAAAAAAACTACACACTTGTTGTTAAACTGACTGTTTTGATATTATTCCTGAATAAATTTAAAAACACGCACATTAAAATTTTTCGAAAACTTACATGAAATAACCTATTTGTAAGGCGCCTAAACCTGAAACCAGTTTCAGTATCAATGTAAATTTTCCTTAAATTACAGGCTGTGTCAATAAAAATGCGTTTTTAATAACTTTATTAATATTTGTTTTAGCGCCGGCGTTTGTACCATGTTTATATCTAAAACCAGTCTTTAACGTTAAATACATAAATATAACTTAATACTTAAATGTCTCTAAAAATGTGTTTAAACTTATGTGTCTGATGCAGTATAATAATGTGTATATCACAATAAAATATATTATGTGTAAAATCATTGTTTTATTGATTTACCAATTATAAGGAACATGCTATTCTCAATGCTAGTGTTGAAGAGACTTATTTGGAATACAAAACCTTATTGAGAACTGCTCAAAGGGAATTATTAGCTTTAGAACATAGTGTTAGTACTGTTTGCAATAAGAACATTGATACCAATTG